CTTTGTCCTCCGCCGCTGCCGCTCTCACAATTGCCTCAAGTGTATGAGAGTGGGCGCGGCGCGGCGCACGGTGTTCCGGCGCCGGTGCACGGTGTGTTTTGCACCTCGTTTGGTCTCATTACGGCGGAAATGTTACTGCAGCAGCGCCCCCGCCGAGCCAAAGGCTAATGCTAATGATTCCATGGAGCACGGCGCCATGATGCTTTCAAATCTGAAACATCCGGGAATTAAATACGTGGCGAGGTTTGGCTGGTTCGCGAGCCCCATTGCGTGTTCCGCCATCTTGGTGATCGAATACAAGGCTGGACGGAGGGGGTGTTTCAGTGCTGTGCATCTCTAATTGGTCATTAGACGAAAAAATTAGAACATTTCCTCCTGAAAAGTTCCCGTTGCCACCGCCATCTCCTCCTATCGCTAACACTGGCATAGCACAATGCTGTGCTGTATGTAAACCTACCCAGTGCTGTGGGGCTTCAAAGGCAAGTAGTGGATTTGGTGGTAGACAGTCTGTAACGGCTTCGTTTCGTATTCTTTTTTCCGATAGATTAAACCGCCATGCAATATTTACCACATGCAGGGTCTTGATGGGTGTTCGTCAGATTTGTTAAGGATGGGTCTGCTTCTTAAGCGGAAACATATAGGATCAGCCGGTTTAAAGTAGCGTTTCTTCGCCTGGCTGATCCCTGGGCAAGCGTCGAGACTAAAAAATGGCTTTGAGATCGCAATGTGGCGCTATTGTAGATGAATAATGCGCATAGTGATAAGCTAAGCCATCTAAGTTAATCTATAAGTTATAACGGCTCACTTTCATCACAGTAAAGAGCATTGTCATCAACAGGCATTAGCAGACCCACACCAAGTGTGCAGGCCGTTCAGTCCAGTGACAGAGCTCTGCTATACAAGGCGGGCATGGAGCACATCGTCGTTCACGCCCGTTCCTGTCGTTCAAACGCAGTGTCGGCAGCCAGAGTCCAGCCCTGTGTGTCAGCGGAGAGCTCTGCCACACGGGCGGGCATGGAGCGCACCGTTGCTGTGCCAGCAGCCGGAGTCAGCGTCAGCGGTGACCCCACACTCCAGGCTGGGCGGCCGGTGTCGCTGACGCCGGTGCCCGGCCGCCGCCTCTCCGGCGCGTCGTCGCCGCCGGCGCATCCGACCTATGGCCGCCAAATCATTAATTAGCGGCCCGTC